TCAAAGCGCAGACAACCCAGAAGATGTCCTACAATGAACCATGCAGCGAGGCAAACTCATCGTCAGTTTATGTTCAGAGACTTCAGTCTAACGGTGCGATGACCAAATGCCGTTCCTTCAAAACTGAGTTGTTAAAATAAGCTTCCTCAACCTTATAACTCTCCATTGGGATATGTCTAAGATCCTGTGTTTCGCAAAATGTGCAATCCTTAATTTTGTGCCCACGGACACATACGCGAGCCCCAAATCAAACATTGCATAGGGTGCCTTTAATTAATTATGCCAAACCGACTGGGATCAGCCTAGATAGTCAAACGGTTCCCGCTTCACCCTGTCCATTGTTTTCTCGGTAGCTGTTACCCGAACCATTGGCATTGCTTAACCGGAAAATGTCGTTACATTTTGCTTGGGTATTCCCACTGATCTCTGACCGGTCGGTTTGGCATAATGGAAAGCAAAATGGTAAGAGCCATTCCTCTTGGCTGGCCCCAAAATCAAGCATTGCATAGGGTGCCAACCAAGACGAGTAGCTCTTACCATGCATTTTTTTATTCCTCTTCCGAATTCTCTACATAAGTGAAGAGAAGTAGGGCAATGAACCGATTTGTCAACAGTGGAACGGCGAATTTCGGTCTGAATATTCCGACCGAAATAAGTGGACCACTTCCAGAGGTGATCCCAAATATTCCTGTCGGACAGAAACAGAAACGGACCTTTCCATTTGACTTCCGACCGGAATTTCCGGAATCTTTGGCATAATGGAAAGCACCTCCTGTGTTTCGCGGAAAATGTGCAATGTTTAATTTGTGAGCCCCGAATTAAATATTGCATATTTTCCGCGTAATACAGGATTTTGATCATATCCTACACGTACTACTTTGTAGGTGTTGTGGTTGTTCAGCACCACAGCTGACACGTGATTTGAACTTTGAATACATTTCCGCTATAGCCGGGCTGACTGTAGATCACTGAATAAGTAAGTTCCTTTCACCATCTTGTTCAAACTCCCAACCAAGCTTTTATATCAGTGAATTTTAAAAGTTGTCACGAAGTCTGACTGAAGCCGTCTAGTGTTTCGCTGTTTGATTCATCGGATACAATCAAACAAGTTGACAAGGTCTGCCGCAATTGTGGCTGCGTGCTACCTTATCCTCTACTTCCTTTCAGATTGTCTTCTACACTTAACAACACTTTTCGAATAGATCTATATATCAGACATGCTTCCTTCAGTTGCAGAATCATAATAATGCCGTATGTTAAATTATATTCGAAACACAGGCTTGATTTAAATATCACTTACCAAGAATAGTGACACTTGAAATGAATGGCTTTCGCTTAATCATACCCATATTTCCTCAAAGTAAAGACTTTGCCAGTAACAACAGCGCTAGAGTGAATTGTGGCGGCCGACGACACCCAATGTTATACGTAACACTGACTAAGCTGAAGCACGGTCTCTTTGAATATTGAGTAATGCCTGATTTGGAATTGGCTCATTCACTACCCTTACTCGGTCCTTGTTTCACTCGACGCTTTTTCATCGGGAAACCTCGGACCGAGTGATTTAACTTGTGCTCACACGGCCAAATGTCGAGTCACGCTTCATTAGGATGTTTACTCGCTGGGAGCTATTATTAAATCATTAAAATTTTACGAATAATCTGTTCGCTATTTAGCGCGAAAATGTTTTCCATCTTGTCACGTTAAACTCCAAAAGAGTAACGAATATTGATTATGTAAAGCAAACATTTTTCGACATGGAAGTTGACTTTAAAATCGTATAAATGTGGTCTTTACAAATTTCAGCTCTATTCAAATGCTAAGAATACTACAACTCGCCAAGAGATTGAGTAGAACAAAAAAAAAGACACTAAATTTCATTAGTAAACGGAAAAATACAGTACATTTCGAAACGGTTTTCTAATTAAGCTTTGTCGAATATTTGAATCAACAACTTTATCTTGGCCTACAAATTATATCATGATGAATAGTTTTGAACTTTCAAGAATTACCCAACATCTTTTAAACATCTAATTATTGCGAGACTACATTTGATTAATTAACACTTGGTGTGCAAACTATATATTTCGTTTCATGATTTAACCACTTATTTAACAAATAAAGAAGCCTAAGCCGTGTATTACACTGTGAAAAAACATGACGGGCATTTGAGAACACGAGGGAAATGTAGAAAACACGGGCCGCAGACGAATGTTTTCAGTTCTACATTCCTCGAGTGTTCTCAAATGTCCGGAGTGTTTTATCACAGTGTAATACACGGCTCATTTGCTTTATGATATAGGGGTAATGTAATCAATAAAAACCCCGCTTTTTGTATGTTTTATACTCTGATCATGTAAAACATGGGTTTTTGACTAATCAGAGCGCGCGCAGGGTCCTATCTATATTATAAAATGATATAAACCTTGGAACACACTTTCTCAAACTCAATAATTTATCAAGTTTAAAGAAAGGTAATCATGATTGGATATCTGATCTTAATTAGCACAGATTTTTACGATTTTATTTCTCCGTTTTCTCCTCAGTTTTACTTTCGATTGAGAAGACATATCAAACACTCAAGACAGTGTTTGACAACCTTTTCAAACACCTAGAAGTTCGTCATAATACTGACAATTGCTGGTTTTCAGTGTCACGCAATTCAAAGTAGATCAAAATAAAAATCAAAACCGGTCAATAGATAA